TCCTTTTCCTCCCCCTCCTCCTCCTCCTCCTCCTCCTCCTCCGCTGCCATCTTGCTCCGCTCTCCCCGCCCTTGACCGTCCCATGACCTTGTACTGGTGCCAGACTGAGGGCCAAGCCTTTCACCCTGGGGCCTTTGGGGGATACTCCAGGTCCGAGCAGAAGCAGTTGCTATTAGTATTAAACATGGTGCTGTTTATTTCCTACTGTCCTCCAGTGAAATACCGGCTCCAGGAGGGTGGGAGGTTTGCTGGTTCCGTTTAGTGGCTTCTTCAGTAGCTGGAACAGCACGGACCCGACAAAGCACACTGTGAGTGAGAAAGAATGTTTTTGGCCGTGTGATTACAAAAGGAACTTGCTTCTATAGAGCTGCGTGGGGTTTTAACATGAGCCCTGACTAGATGTGTCTGATCCTGAGATTCAGTGTTAGGAAATCTCTTTTGCCTGTTGCAGTTAGCTGGGCCCTGCAGCCATTCGTAACCATCAATGTCAATGACATTGCAATAAATAAAAGCCCGATTCTCCACCATCACAGGGGTCGTAGACTAATGAAGAAGAAAGGTGAGAAAGGAAAACGCCAACCGATGATAGCGAGGTGCTGAGCCTTGCACCTGGAGCCCCGCAGCACGAGCGCCAGGAGGGACCGCAGCGTGGAACCGGGGGGACGTGCAAGGGACGCAGGCATCCTGAGCGAGAGGAAGGAGCTGAGGCCTGAAAGATGGAGAGTCGGAGCTAAGCAAAGGCCGGGAGGGAAGGAGCGGCTGGGGCAAAGGAAAGCAGCGCGTTCAGGAGACCAGAGGGCCGAGAGATCTCGGTGCGGGGAGGACAGGTTTGGAGAAAAGGCAGAGATCTAGGAGGTGAGCACACTGGGTAGAGACCAAACTGGCGCGTCATGTGAAAGACCTGGAGATCTTAGCCACAGGGCAGTAAGGAGCCAGTGAGGAGTTTCAAGCCGAGAAACCTAGCTCGAGAAGCTGCGGAACCGTGCTTTGAGCCAGTGACTTAACCAAGGGCGCTGAGACAGATCGCAGGAACCGCACCCCGCCTTTCTGCCGCAGTGATCACCTCTAACCGAGCCAGCCGAGCCTCAGCGGTGGCGCCCCGAGGTCCTTCCGTCTGGATTATACGTGTCGATTTGCTTAGTGGTTCGCAGAATACAGGCGCCTGGGGCAGAATCAACGCAAGGGACTCCCTGGGATCGGAAGCCCGGGGGCGCGCGTTACCGCAGCACTGGCGGGGCCGCGGTCCCAGTGCACCTCGGTGGAGAACCGCGAAAGCGGATGGCAGGGCTGACTGGTAGGAAAAAGCAGCTGAGTGTATAGTCAGCAACGCGCGAGATATAAATGATTCCTTAAAGACGGAACGCGTCCTCTACTTGTTAGCAGTGTTTCTTTTGCATATCGGATATTGGCCCATTCGAGTGACCACGGCTTCTTTTAAACAGCGAAGAGGGAATTAATGGAAATTAAAGATCACCTCCTCAAAGGCTGATGTTTGTACATACGGAGTAGAGCTGTGCATTGAATCCCACGGACAACAACGTTGCTATTTACGCCCTCCTCAGACCCAGCAATATAATGGAATCTCAGTTGAATTCTGCTCATCTAATAAAATGACCAATGGAGTAAAATATCATTAGGCAAGCCTTCCTTAACTTTCTGTCGAAACGGTTATAAAATGAGCATCCAAGTCCTGACCATCCATGTGCAGCCTGGAGAAATGACTCGCTGTCTCGGCTGGGAAAACAGAAACCAGCTCTTAGGACCGGAAGGGACCGGATGGGACCGGATGGGACCGGAGCAGGTTCGCCTCCTTTGCTAGGGCGGAGGATGGTGTGAAGTTGAGGTCCTAGATTTTCTTCACGTTGAAATCTGTATTGACAGAGAGTGAGTTTAAGCTGAGGGAATGCTCCGTGCAGAGCCTCTCTCATTTCGGTTCCTTAAGGAAGCCCTGAAAACAGGGCGTAGGCCTCACTGTGCGGGCGTCGGTGGAAGATGGAGGAGGGTTTCTTGACATAGTCACCAGCTCATCCTGGCCGTGAGGCTGGGTGTGGAATCGCAGAGCACAGGGAAGACGTCTCTGCGAGGAGCAGAGACTGCTCTGAGGCAGCAGGGAGCGCAAAGCCCAGTGGCCAGGGCCTGTTGGCAGGTGTAGCTTTTCAGGGCCCGCCACTGAGTCACCAAAGCTCGAATGTTTCACTTTCCCCCACGGACGAAACTAGAAATTACAGGGTACATACAGGGAAGGAGTTCCCTTCAGAAGATCAGCTAACATAAAGTGTCACTTCCGAGACTTAACTCCCTTGATAACTATTTGGACATTAAACTATTGTAGGAGTAGCCAGACACGAGAGCTTGGAGACTCCAAACACAAAGGAATGGCGAGGTGTCCAGAATCAGTGCTTTTCTAAGGGATCCAAACAGCTCAGGTGTTTTTTTTGTTTGTTTGTTTGTTTGTTTCTTCTTCTTCTTTGTACCGGGGATCAAACTCAGGTCCTCATGCTTGCGAGGCAGCTGGCAGAACCATTGCACTAAAACCCAAGCCCCAAACAGGTCATTCATGCCTTATTTCTTAAATGCTCAAACCGTCAAGATTGAGGGAAAAAGTTAAATCAGGAGCACATGCTAATATTTTGCTGGCTATATTGTTTTTTGCATGCACTCATCCAATAAAGACACTTTTAAAATCTATTCTTCTAAGTGTACAAATGCCCGGGGTACGGTGACAACTCAGTACGCAGTCCGTGTGGAAGATTAATCACAATAAACATCACCCCTTTCCCCAGACAGGCAGAGCCTCCTTCCCAGAAGTAGCAAGCATGCTAGTAGGCAGTCATAAAAGCACTATAAATCTTGGTGATGATATTTCGCATTCCTCTACAAAGCGGCTAGGGACACTTCTCCAGCTCTTCATAGAGATTTCTCATTAATCTGCTCGGTAACCCTAAGAAGGAGGGGAAGAGAGTCTCTCGGCAGGGGGAGTAATTTCTCAGGAGTGTGCGGGAGCGACAGGCTGCCACGCTGCTGAGGACCCCTCTGATTCTGTGGGATGAAAATACAACAGGATTTCAGAAGAGCCAGCTGGAAATACTTCGTGTGCATAAATTTATTTTAAATTTTATTGCATCACATTATACAAGCATTAAACATGGCTTCATGTTGATGACTAAGAGTGAAAATTCATCATTCATGTCAGTGCCTTCTGGCTATTTACACATAAGGAGTTTCTATGTACTTTATATATCTCTGTATTTGTACAGATGTAGGAATACACAGCTATACATATGTACACACAGAAATACATCTATGGCCATACATGTAGCTATAGATATGTCAGAGATAATCATCTCTTCAGAAAGATCAGAAATTAAATAAAGAAAGGAAAAGAAAGAAGTCGTTGTAAACAGGATCTTGTCTGTGTCATTTGGTGATGTGGAATTAGTACCGTGTGATGACATTCCAGGAATGTGTGTCCAGGTGTCCAAATGCTCTTTGTGGCCCAGTGTCTGTAAAATTCACACGGGATAGAATGCAAAAAAAAAGGTAGCAAACAGGCCCAGTACACAAGTTCCCCTTGGTTTTCAAACGAGGATGGAACTGCCCGCGAGGTGCATGCTGCTCGGTCAGGACCGGCCTGTGGGTGGGTAGCAGTGGCGGGCGGGGCTGCAGTGCGGCTCCCAGCAGCTCTTCCACCGCGGTCCTGGGCTGGCGCCGACCGCCCGCGGCTGCACGAGTCTGCAACATGCACTGCGGTTGCGTTTTTTGTGTCATTCACTTGCATGTGCTTTTTGCACAGCCAGGAGAAGTAAACAAAACTCAGGTCCTTGGCCTGGAATGAGCCGTTACCTGGCGAGAGAAAGGAAGGCATCAAGCTGGGAGGCGCAAGGGGTGGCGGGTGGCGTAAGGACATGGCGAGCAGCGGGCGGGGGCGGTTACTTACCGTGCCTCAGGGGTGTGGGGATTTGCAAACATCGCTAGGCCGGCTTTGCAGGCCAACAGACTGAGTCACAAAGGCAGCCTGCAGCAGTGAGACAGTCTGCCAGCTGCGGTGGGAATACAATGACAGATGCTATGCTTTCAAGCAAAAGTGAGAAAAGGCCCCTTCAGGAAATAAGCAGTAAGGGTGAGGCCAGAAGGAACCCTGATTATCAGGTGCTGACTTGTAGCCAAGGGCAGCCCCAAAGGGTGGACAAGGCCACCTGGCAGCACCTTGGTTCCTGGCCACTGGGGCTCTCAGGAGCAAACCCCTGTGGTGACATTGGCGTCCCCCTCTACCCAGGGCTGTCTGGACAGTCAGCCTTTCTCCTCCAGGGAGTGACCACAGCAGAGAGGAGGCAACAGGAATGGGCAGGGGCTGCAGGCTGGCACCAAATCACAGACACCCGGAAGGTTAAAGCCGGAACACCTCTGAAGTACTGCTTGGTACAACTTCTTTACTTTTGCAAATGTAAAGACCGAGTCTGTGTGGGCCAGATCACAGACAGAGGATGGAAAAGCCAGGGACAGAACTAGTCAAACTGCCACATGATGCTTAACAATAACACAAACCCCAGACAGAATGCTGCGGCCCTTTAAGCTTAGTAAATGTCTCCCGGTGCACTGTCTTATTTGAGGTGCATATAAATTCTGTCTGATAGATGGACTCAGAAAAGTTAAGTACTTTCCCCAGAGTTCCACAGCCAAAGAGCAGACCTGGGAAATGGTAAGATTCCTAAGTAGTAAAATATTTCTTGTCTTCAGTGAATCCAAAGCCAGCATTGGACTTGAGGACGACCCTGTCTACCACTCTTACTCATGTGGGCTTGGAGTCTGGGTTATTTCCTCCAACTCCATAGTCAGATTCACCTTGTAGTAGCCTGCCAGACTATTAACATAGGGCTGGGTTGATGCAATTTCACTAACTTATCAACAAACATCTCTGCAGATATCTGCTATAGTGGAGCCTATAGGCAAAATGAAAACTATGTTTTTCTTACATATCTATCTCATTTTTTCTTTGGTTGTTAACTTTAGGAAATGTCTTCAGAGCTCGTTTTCAGTCACATAAGGGGGAGAAAACTGCAGGGCAAGGAAGGCTAAATAAATGTTGTAATGACATTAGAATCACAGAGTATCAGATCAGAGAGCTCATCATTACTGAAGAAACTAAGGCTCGGAGAAGTTTTATGGCTTCTCTGAGATCACACAGCCATAACTGGCTTGCTGGAGAGAAAGTGTTGAAACTTTCTGAAAGGATGTGTGGCAACATTATGGAGTTTTCTTACAATGCATTCAGTCTTAACCCACCCACACCAGTGAAGCTTAACTGTGTCAGCTTGATGGGCTTGGGAGCCAACACGGGCTCAGTAAAGCACACTTCTGGGGCCTGGGGGGCGGGTCATGGAGGTCTGACCTTGGGCTCTGGTGCTCAGCATCTTGGTACCTTCACGCCCTTCTGCTGTGGAGCCAGCTGACCATGGACCGAATCCCCGAAACCATGAGCCCAATCCTCCTTTAAGGTGTAGGTGTCCAGTATTGTGTCTCAGTGATGAGAAACCTGAATAATACACCACCTTCATCGATTGAATGTGTGTTTGTTAGGTATCATGTACTTAGTGCTGTGCTAGTCGGAGGAATAAAATTTACAATCCAGAGATTTCTCTGAAGATGTTTACAACTATGCCGAGGGAGCCTAACAGTGATTTGAAGGTGGTACGTTCATAATACAAATCAGTATATTGCAGTCCATGTGGTTCTGATGGCATTAAACAGAGAAGCTTAGGGGTAAGTCTCACTGTGCAGTGAGTTAGGAGGGATGGTACGTCAGGGTGACCGAGGGAAGGCCACACTGTGTGGATAAAAGGCTGATGAGAGAAAAGGCACAGTGTACTGTGGTTGTCCTAGCAGCTTGGCTGGGGTAGAGGGAGAGGAAGGTTTATTTCAGTGAGTACCTGGATGGACTGCCTCGCGAAGACCTTGTGCCAGGCTGGAGTCTGGCAGGGAGGCAGAGGGGCAGGAGGTGTGTGCCAGAGGGAGTTGCGATTATTAAAGAAGAAACCAACTGGCTCTGGGAGGGAAGATCAAGTTGCAATTTTAAAAGAAGACACCAACTGGTTTTGGAAGCTTCCAAGGAACATATTTTGGTCCCTACTGCTGGAACAGAGGGAGCCCTGCTCTGGGGATATCAAAGCAGCGCCCCCAGCATGAGGCAGCTCTGGGCGGGTGCACACCTCCCTCACCTCATCAGGGCCACTCGTTGTGATGTGCTTTTCCGTTCTTCTTCCTCTCCTTCCGTTCCCTCTGGAGGCGCTCAAGCTCGGCCTCATACATCATCTCCTGAATCAGGTACTTCTCTCTTCTCATTCGATCCCTTAGGTCTTTTGGGAGGTCGGGGATCAGATAGGAAATGAGGTGCTTTATGCAAAACACGAGGTGCTGAAAAGACCAGAGGAGAACACAGTCAGGTCTGTCGCCATCATTCGCCAAGGAACTTGGGGGGCTGGCGAGGGGACGTGGAGCCTCTAGGGTGTGAGGGGAGTTGGGCGGGGAGGCGAAGACCCAACAGGGTCCATGGTACATCCGGGGAAGAGGAAGACAAGGTGTGCGAAAGTGAGCAAGGGGTGGCCAGAAAATTCGGAGGAGACCCGTGGGGACCTGCACTGTGCAACCAGAAAACGCAGCTGAGAACTTCAGCGTAGCAGACGCTCCTGCTTCTGAGGACCCGCATCTTCCTGAGAGCGAGGCCCTCAACTGTCCTGAGCCCCAGTGCTCTCGTCTGTAAAACGGGTATCGCTGGGAAAATTATAAGAAAGTCTTTCAAAATGCTTTCCAGATCGCCAAGTGCTTTACAAATCTTTATCGTATGAATTATCAGTGGGCCTCAGAGAACAGTCATTTTGGGGAGAAATGTTTTCTTTTTGGTAAACCGCTACACATTCTTTACCTGAAATACAAATACCGTGACCTCTAGAATCACGGTCACTTCAATTCATCTCTATGCTGGTGACCAACAGAGCACCGGATCACAATGTGAAGACCCTTACAATTCTAAAGTATTTAATAAAGATAAACTCATGTTCAGTGAGATCGAGTATTATTTGTTTTATTTAATGTAATACAGGTGGCACATGGCTGCCATTTAAGAGGCTTTTCTGTGCATTTCTTGTGTTTTCTAGTAGTTAAAAATAGCACATTGACAGTAAATGGGAGGTTCTATTTGAAAAGCCCAATAATAACTTAATGAAGCCTTTTTGTCTGAAAAAATTTAATGCAGTGTTTGATTAAAAATATTTCTGTAAAAGGCACCAAGTCATTAGTAAGCTAATTTCCAGGGAAGAGCAGTTTAATGTTGTCTTCTCTTAGTTCCTTGGAATGAAGGCAAAAGCAGTGACTGAAAACTCTCAGAGAATTTTAAGAGACTTCTGGCACAAGCCAAGAGACATCTTCGCTTGCATTAACCCAGCTCCAATCCAAGTGACAAGAGAAGATTTACATCTATGATGAGTTACAGAAATGCAAGCTATTTCCTGGCAGTTTTCTAAAAGAAAGGAAATAGGATCTATTTTTAATGACACATATATAGGCAGCTGCTAGGTGGATTTTACTTTGTAAGTTGTTTTTGAGTCTTAGGCAATGAATACCCACTGTGTGCTTCAAAGTAAGTAATGCCACGATAATACACAACCAGAGGCAACCTTGCAATATCCACTTCCATGTTTTCTGAATTATGGTCCTTGAACACCCACATGAGAATCACCTTGAAGGTCCTGTGAAAAGCACATCACAGACAGGAGGGACCAGTATCTTGGGGAGAGGGAATGGGAAAACTACAATATTGGGACCAGTGATTCCTGACTTGTTCATTAACACTCAATAACAGATTTTCAAATATGTCTTTTTTCCTTCCCTCTTTATCTGCATGTGCTTGTGATATAAATACATTCATGGTGGTACTGGTTCATGTACATATCGTATCTTGATCCTTTTTACTTTTCCCCTTCGCCTCCCACTTTCTCATCTTCCTATATCTTTAGGTTCCCCAAAACTCAAATTTTTCAACTAAGGAAAAGAAAAAGAAGACACAGAAGAGATTACATCATATGATCTGGTACTTCCGGAAATAGGAAATAACAGTGAAAGCGCTCAACATTAATCCTCACTCATTACTCCTAGTGACTCAGTCACGTCAAAGGAAAGAAGGGAATCAGTTGTGGGGCTTTACCTCAAACACAATGATGAAAGCAAGTCGGGCTGCCAGGACATGCCAGAACTGCAGTGTGTAGCCATACGGCACGAGTGCGTGAGGAGAGTCACGGTAGTCTCGGTATCTGTAAATACACAGGAGAATGCTGTAGGCCAAGCTAGAATTTTTCTAATCCTCAGAGTTCTTCCATTCCCACTAGGGAGTCTGCATCATGGGAACAAAGTTTGGAAGGTTTCACTATACCAGAGAGCCATTGCTTTGTCCTGCATTTCTTCTTCTGGTAACGGCACAGCTCTTTTCCTTTGGAGACTCTTCCACAGGGCTTGGCCACAGCTCCCTCCCTGAACTCAGCTCCAAAGACGAGCCAGACCTGATCCATGAGACCCGTGGCCAGGATGCCTGACAGATTGCTGATGAACTTCCATCAGCCCCCAGAAGGTAAAAGGCTAGCACTGCTGGTGGCCATTGCCAAATTGGAGGGAGAGAGAGAATGTGTTGGAGAACAAGGGAGAGGACCTCAGAACGAGGGCTACCAAGAGGTGGAGGCATCAGGCTGACACTGGTTCAGTGTTGGGATTCACTTTTTCCTAGAGTTCATATCATTCCCTGGCTGTTCTGGTTGCCAGAACCAATACATTTCTTTCTTTTCTTTTGTACTAGGGATTGAACTCAGGTCCTTTCAGGGCAGGCATGGTGCCACTGAGCTAAATCCCCAGCCCCCAGTACATTTCGTTTGCTTAAGTTTGTTTCCAATGGATTTCTGCCACCTGACACTAAAGAAGCCTTCCTAGTGCCTTCTCCTTGATGCCAACTGTTGAGTCAGCGTCACGTTCTACAGATGTTTGCTGAGCACTTACTTGAGTGCAGGCACTGTTTTAGGAACTTTGATTCACGTGACTCCATTTTATGCTTACCATGACCACCAACAGTGCCACAGGTGGGAAAACTGAAAAGTGACTCCTCTGTGTCAGAAGGTTGCTGTGGAATTTGAACCCAGTGCTCTTTTCATTGTCCCAGAAACTTAGGATGATATGGAAATACTGTACTGGCAACTCACATATCTTTGCTGGGTACATACATCAAGTTCTCAGATCCAAATACAAGTTCTGATCATTCAGGTTCTCATCTAGTGTAGCATCTAACCTCAAGGTCAGTGCTGATTTGCATATGAGAGACAGAATAATTACCTACAAGGAGCCCTGAAATGTATTCAGGACTACAAAACACAAGTTGACAGCATTACCACCATCCAAGTCATCATCTTCATGGTCATTAGCATCTATGGATGTGTGGTAAGAATGGATCATCATTATTTCATCATTAGAATGATATTTACGATTAATATCTCTGGTCCTGAGATTTAGAATGAATCCAACCTCTGGTTCTCTCTGCGGGGATGAGGATTGGGCAATCCTCTAAGACACGGTTCTATTATGGCCATAAAATCTTTTTCTGTCATCATAATCAGTCCATGAACTATGCGAGAATTTAGGGAGAATTTTATCCGGTGCTCAAAGTTTGCAAGGATCATTCTAACCTTTGTTCACTTTTTGCAGAAGACAGCTAGTGAGTCAACAGGAACTGTGTTTTCTGAAATTATGATAAACATAATTCCTTTGCTCATCTTTATCATTTTAGATCTAGTCCAGATAAATAGAAGAAAATAATATGCTTTTATTGTACATATGGCTGGTTATTACACACGGTATATTTATAATAGGAGAGACCTCAGACTAGTTCCAGTCATCTTTATTTACTCCATAAGTTTTTAAGAATAAGGTGTTCACTGCAGCTGAGAATTCTTTTGCAGGGATCAGTTTTCCCTATCAGTAATGTTACAGCCTGTCCATCTCACCTTCCTCTAAGATGTTGGACTCTTGGTCTTCGATAGGGTGTCCAATGATTGTTGCCAACGCTCTCAATTTGTGCTCTAGCCTGCCCCTCACCCCACTGGACTCTTCCATTAGGTAGAGAAGTGGAAAGGATCATGCACATGCAACATTTGGGGTCCTAGGGAATGAGACCAGGACCTGCCACGCCCAGCCCCATTTCCTTGCTTTTGATGTGCTGTTTATTTGCAAGCTGACTGGCTGCCTGATCTCTGGCACTTGTACAAAGAAAACACATCCCTTGGCTACTGTAGAAACAGCCCTGGGTGCGCGCACCTCCACTGTCTAAGTGGTCAGTAGCATCGCTTGTCCTCACGCCCCCAACCAACCTCTGCTCACTAGACCCCACTCTTAGCCCGGGACTAAGTGGATAAATCTGAGCCTCTGTAGGGTCAGACATCTAGTTTCTGTTCTGTGCCCTCTGAAAAAAACATAGGAAAAGGAAGGAAAATGGGCGATGCTGATCTTTTACAGCAAGTTGCTAGGAGTTAAAGAGAGATCTTTTCAGAAAGCTGAAAGCTCCTAGCCATGGGCATTGTGTACTAGTGCCAGAAAGCACTGTGCTGAGACTCTGGAGCACCCTTCCCACCAGCACAGCACATGGGATCCAACTATCCTTGCATTCTTTTGGCACTTTTCCGACTGAAGCCACTTACAAGGACACTGATGGAAGCTGGAACCTTCAATTCTGCCTCAAGTCCTGCTGTGCTTTAGAGAAATCTATGACCACATTTGTCCTCTGCTTCCCTTTCTGAGACAGAGGAGCTGCAGGGGCTGGTTACCAGGGTCCCTTGTCAAAGGGCCTGGGACCCAATGGTTGTCCTCCTCATGCTTCTGTGACAAGGGAGCGTACAATGCTGATGGGAAAGCCTCCAGTACTTCCACCATCAAATATTGAGAGAAAAGATGCATTTGAATTTGATTTCAATAGTTGTACACTAGTAATGTCATTGAGCATTTGGTGAATGGTTTTATCTGCTGGATGGGATATGATTGCCCACCTTGGGAGGCGGATGTGGGTATTAAATACAGTGGCAGCTCCTGGCAGATATTAGGGCCGCAAAGCTCTCCTTCACACAGGAGGGGCCATCCAGAGGCAAGTTTGATTTCCTCTCAGCAGGAGACAGACCAAGGTCAGGAACATGGTGTAGAGGGTACAGGAGTAGGTCCTGCACCATCTGGGACCTCGCTTGTCTCTGAGTTGCTGAGCACTCAGAAAGACAATGCTGGACAGTAAGGTAAGAGGGAGGAACAGGACCAGGGCACATGTCGAGGGCATCTGTCACTCAGATTGCCCGACTCCTTGAGCCTCATCCGGTCAGGTCATTTTTAGGTTTTTCCCTTTAAACCAGGAGCTGTCGACTTGTACCTGGGGTTCCTGAACCATACTGATGCCTGGATTCGGTCTTGGTTCACTGGGGTTGCCCGAACAGGACAAAGTTTAAAAATCCCCTGACCATTATGACCCCCAGCCAAGGCTGAGGCCCACTGCTTTAAACCCAGGCAAGCTTCAGGTGCTGTTGGGGCCAGGCAGAGCCATGCTTGAGTCCCGCTCTTACCTGCAGTACTTGAGAGGCGTCCCGGAGAACTCGCTGCCATCCGATTCCGGCTCCGACCGGTTCTCAAAGTCAGAAATTCGGAACACGGACAAGCTGGCATTCACATAGCCAACCATGCACCTGCCAGAGAGCACAGTCTGTATCTGGGATGCTGAGCGCCTTCTCTGCGCAGTTCCCTAAGACCACTTCCCAGCAGCCCTTGCCTGGTGGCAGGGACTTAGCTGGGAGGCGCTGAGGATCCCTAGGTCTTTCTGTGCACCGCTGTCACCCAGAACGTCACTTCCCCCATCGGTGCTTTGGTGAAATAAGTGAAAGACAGCCCTGCATGGTAGGCATAAGTTACAGGGACACCTCGGTCCCTTTCACTATGACACAGACACACACATGTGAATGCCTGATATGACTGTGGGCCTATGACCCCCCTCAACTCACATCTCAGGCTGACTTGCGCGGCACTGGGACTGCCACGTGTGCTTTCTTGTCTCTGCTCAGCTCGTCCCTTCTGCCGGAATTTCCTACTCCTTTCTTTACAAGAGGAAATGGTTCCCAGCTTTCAATGGTCAGGGAAGCACCACCCCACCTAGAAAGACTCCTTGGTCCCCCCAGTCAGACAGACTCACTCCCTTCTGTCTCCGAGGTGCTGCTGCTGTCTTATTACACAGCGTCTACCGAAGGTGGCCACATCTGTCCTCATTCTCTGTATTTATTTGTTACTTTTTCATTGGTGCACGTTTGCTGTACATAAGGATTGCATTCCTTGTGAGGAGTTGGTACATAAACATACACATCTTAATTCCTTTTTTATCCCCCCCCCCTTATCTGTTGGTTTCTCTCCCTTTTGTAAAACGCTGCATCTATCTGCCTATTTCCTATTCTCCTTTGGACTGTAGTTTTTGGGGAGCAGAACAGATTTCTTAGCTATTTTTGGATACTACAACCTTACAGAGTCCCATGCTGTGTAGGAATGCAGTAACATGGATTTCTTTTTTAAAATTAATTGATTAATTACTTTGTTTTGGTACCAGGGATCAAACTCGGGACCTTGAGCTTGCGAGGCAGGCGGCGGCACCACTGAGCTAAATCCCCAGCCCAGTAACATGGATTTCAATCGATTTCACTGGAGGAAAACTAAAATGTCAGAGACCCTACTGATCCTTCTAAATTGAGCGGTAAACAGAATCAATGATCCTAGCATCTACTCTATCAACATGTCTATTCAATAAACAGCACTTTCTAAAAGTCTGATAACAACACTCGGAAATCTTTTATATGGTGTGATTTAAAGAGCGATTTGTAAGTGTGATCCACTCAGTGAAATAACTTCACATGCACTTAGCACTTCTGGGGTTTTTTTTTTTTAATGTTTGTATTTAAACCGTGTTTTCTATCCAGAGCACCGTCTCGAATGGGCCGGAAACAACACAATCGCTCACTCTCAGAGACACAGCTTCTGCAGAGCTGACTTTCACCCTGTCCCGGAGGAAGGGTATTATAACACTAAAAGCCCATGTTTTGGGATTAAATCTTAAACCTGGTGTTTTCTAACCCATAACCCTGGCAGGTTATATAACTTTTTCCCTTTGGTGGTTTTGGGGATCAAACCCAGAGCCTTGAATTTGCTGGGCAAATACTCTGCCAATAAGCCCCAACCCCCGGGCCTAAGCAACTCCTTCATGTTACAGAGATGCCGCTTCGTAAGGTCACTGTGGGACTAATGACACTTTCACAGCGTGCGGTAGAGCACCAAGCCTCAGGAGGTAAATGTGAGTGGGGATTTCTCACTTTATTTATTTCTCCATCTAGCAGGAAGGGAATAAATAATCACTGGCTGAATGAATAAATCATAGCCTCGGACTCTCCTCCTCTGTGCCTTTGATGTGTGGATTCTGAGCTGAATGGTAAGCCAAAATGATGGCACAAACTGTTCTGAGAGCACAGGACTTCTGTTGTGCTCGACACAGATCCTGGGGATGTACCGTGGCCTTAAAAAAAAAAGAAATCTGAAAAATGAACAGAGCCAGGGACCCACGCTCAGGTCCCCCCCAGGCCAGGCAGAGGGAGGGCGGGTGTGTAGCAGGCTGCAGCCCTTGTTCCTGCCCGGGAGAGGATAACCCAGGACACAGCTCCAAAATCCATGCCGCAGACCATCTGGAGCTTGGCAGAGCGCAAGGCAGCACCATGAGGGCTGGCGCCTGTCCCACCAGTGCCAGTGACAGGCAGGAGCGGGCGAAACCTGTCAGGAGCAGAGCAGCGGGGAGAGGTGCTCTGCAACCCAGCCGGAGAGCCGGCATCAAACTGCAATTTTCACGCCACTGCAGCCCCAGGCTTTCATTGGACCTCAGCTGCTGTCCACTGGCTGCCCTGTCTAAAAACTCCACTGACAGAGTCTAAATTCACATAAGGTGCCTGCTTCAGGCACGAGACCCGCCAGAGGACAGCTCTGTGACCCTGGTTCTCAGGTCTTCCATGTGACCAGCATGGCTCAATGGGCATTACACCTCCTGGATAAGTATTAAGTACGGACCAATATATGAAGGCCTAGCTAGCTAGCTACGTCCTTTCCATAGCAGAGGAGGAGCACTGACTGCTAGGGTTCCTCTCGTTCTGTTTGTCACGGTAGAATCCTGGCTCTTGGAGCATCACACCACAGGTTTGGGGAAATGGGATTTCCCATAATTTACTGGTCAGGAGAATGAATGTCCACCCACTGACCTATTGTCACAACGGGGGGGGGGCACAAACAGCAGCAGATCCCAGCTCTGTCACTTGGCTTAGCGACAAAGCTCTATGAGCTGACCTATTGTCACAACGGGGGGGGGCACAAACAGCAGCAGATCCCAGCTCTGTCACTTGGCTTAGCGACAAAGCTCTATGGACCTACTCTCAGATCCCAGGGACACGGAGGGAAGACGCCTGCCCTGATGATCAGGGAGAAATGAGGGGGAAACTATGAGGCAAAGGAAGGATTTTTTTTTTGGTGGTACCGGGGATTGAACTCAGGACTTTGAGCTTGCCAAGCAGGCATGGAGCCACTGAGCTTAAGCCCGGGTCCCAAACTTGAAATTTTAAAGTCATTTTAAAAGGGCTGGCAGATGGTCCCTGAAGGTGTATCTTCAAGAAACGAGATTTAGAAAATGTCTTATGTAAGAGTAATATTATTTGGATCAGGAAATATATTTATCTCAAGTAACTTCTGGGACTATCACATTCATTTAAGTGTTTTGATTTTAAAAGGTTTTTATTACTTATTGTTTCTAATCCTTTACACAGAAGAGAAAGAGAGAGAGAGAGAGAGAGAGAGAGAGAGAGGGAACAGTGATCACTGTTACCAGTTTTAGACTGGAAGTAACTTCTGAGACGGTGGATTTCAGATCCAACTCACTGTAGGATGTCTTTAAATTATGTCACCAAATTTGCCTTTGAGTTTTTAAATACTGTCTTGTCAATAGCCTGGGGAAAGGAATCAAAGGCGAAAACAACAACAGCGACTAATGGAAATAAGATTGGGTTTATGCATTTTAAAAAATTTTTTGAGACAGGGTCTCACTATGTAGTTCAGACTGCTCTGCAACTCACTATGTAGCCCAGGCTGGACTCAAACTCACAGCAAACCTCCTGCCTCAGTCTCCCGAGTGCTGGGATTACAGGCGTGCGCCACTATACCCGGCTGGGTTTATACATTTAAAGTCAAATATAGGATAAAGATTTCCAGGCTAATGGATGAGGAAAGAAAAAAGCGGACTTCTGAATTGTTGCAATAAAAGTATCAAGGGCCAGGGATGTAGCTCAGTGGTGCTGTGTCCGCCTGGCAAGCACAAGGTCCTGAGTTTGATCCCTGGTACCAAAAAAAAAAAAAGTGTTAAATATGAACCACTGAGGAGGGCCTCTGCTCAGTAAGCTTTATTTATTATTATTTTAATATGAACCACAGGAGGGCCTCTGCTCAGTAAGCTTTATTTATTATTATTTTATTTCCTTTTTTATGGTTCTGGGGTTGGACCCAAGGACTTTGAACTGAGCTACATCCACAACCCTTCTTATTTTTTATTCTGAGGCCAGGGTCTTGTTAAGTTGGACAGGCTGGCCTTGAATTTGGGATCTGCCTGCCTCAGCCTTTCAGAGCGCTGGAATACTAGGCACACGTCACCACACCCAGCTGTCAACTTTATTTTTTAAATTGTCACTTTGCAAGCAGTGATGTTTGTCACCCTATTTCAGTGATTCAGAGTACATACAAACATGTTATTTATTATTCATTAAGTAAGATATTTGTGCCTAGTCTGGGGAAGATTCACGCACAGGTCCTTGAACAAGGCTCTAACTCTTTATGATATCATTGCTCTCTGGGAAATCAGTATCCTTACAGAATGTTCCAAAAAACTCCAGCCTGTGTCTTCCTGCTAAGAAGTAATGAGTTTATTATATTCAAGGGTGGGGGGATCAAACTGGTTATCTGTGCAGATTGGAAAAATCTTTTGTCTATTAAAATTGAAATTTTGATAGGGAGAGTAACTGCACAGGGCACATCTCCAAGGGTATTTCACCATTCTTGTCTGTTGACGTCTGGTCTATGTCCTAAGCTCATTTCTAAAGAAGAGGCGACCTTGTTCTGCAGACAAAGAGCAGGCTGAGACCCAGGAATCACCCGGCGGAGCTACAGCAGGAGAGAAGGAATGTGCTCCAAGAAAGATAAGATCACGTGAACAGTCCGGTGCGCCAGCACGGAGAGGACACTGCCTCAGCCACTTCTTTAATTTTCAGATTGGGCTGGAAAATGCGGGTGCTGCCCACAGCACGCCTCAGGGAACCTGGTGCTGGGCACCTGCAAGAGCAACAGTGTTGTGCACAGGACGCCTGGGTGGGAGAGACGTGGCCCTGCGTCTCAAGCGGCTCACAGCCTTCTCGGGACAGAATGCACATAACGGCCAGGACGAGCGAGGCAGACTGCATGTGGGATTCTCAGTCACGGAGAAGCCAGGGGGGCTGCAGGGACAGTCAGGAGGAGGCGCCGGCGTGACCCAGAACTCTGGTCAGGGCCAGGTGATGGGTTTGAAAGATGGCGTTTCCAATATCGATCCTAAGTAGGGTTTGCCTACAACTGCACATCCTACTCCAAAGGCCAATGACCTCCGAGGAATTGGCAATGCTACTATTCTACAAGTTCACTCATTTCTAAAGCCTTTCTGCATTTGAAAACAAATCAAACAAACAAACTAAACCAGAAAAGAACTCTGCAAAGTAACAGAACTGCTACCGGGGCAGAAAATAAGATTCATTGAAGAATCACACACATAAATATGACAATTTGAAAACAAGAAAAATGACAAATGGAGGAAAATCTGAAAGGCAGATGTATCAGTTGAAAGTGGCTGAGGGCTCTTAAGTGGGAGAAAGGTTTATGAAGAAAATAAACACCTCAAAGAGCCTCATAAAACAGAATTAATGAGGCTATTAGATATATTTTAATCGCCACAAACCTCATCTTAAACCTAGCAGGCCGCCAAGGTTCTGAAGCTTTGATTTGGTATCGAGTGTGCAGAAATGTTCCCGCTTTATTTTTTAGTTCCCTAAAAAGGCTGCTTGCACCATAACTGGAATCGGGAAAGAATCAAAGCAGCCTTGAGGCTCAGAGCCCAGGGTGCTGACCTCCGAGCCCGACAGTCCCTGACCGCCGCCGGAGGTCTGCGCTGGGTGCAGAGCGCCCTGGGGACGTGGCTTGCCCTCCTTCCGGGCTCCAACAGCTGTGTGGATTCTGGGTTTACCCCACTCAATCTCCTCCTCCCCACAGATGGGGATAATACTGCAGGTCCACTCCCAGGGCTGTTTGTGAGAATCAAATGCAAAACATCTATGGAAGTGGCTCTCAGGAAAGTAGCTTTTAAGCCTTTTAAAGGCTAAGATGAGCAGAGAATACTGACCACAGTTGCAATCAGAAAGGAATGCTCGGGTGGGATCACTGAAGTCTCAGTTAAACTTCCCTCACAAGGTGCTGGATTCTCACTCCCAGCGGCTAGGTGATCTGTGTAACAGTCCTGGCTGTGGCGGTGAAGCACCTCAAGGAGGCGCCTTCCGCTTGCCGGAGTGTGAGTTTCAGCACATCTGCAGTCCTCTCTGTCCCGCGGTGCTCCCTCGGGGTCAGTAATGAGACTGGGTATGGGCAGGGCTTGCTTCACTGCACCCGTTGACATGGTGGCGCCGCGCTCCGTGAGCCTGTCCCCTGACAGCGGCTCGGAGAGCCAGCCCCAGGCAGGGCTGCTCAGGCAGCAGGGACGTGACAGGACGTCTCGACCACCACTGCACCCTAAGCCTCACACGCCCAGATCCTCCAATCAGAGATACATTATTGTTTTGCCGTGAGGGATTTTTAAAGCAAGTTAAGATTTCCTGTCTTTTTTCCCAAGACACAGAAATGAAAGGTAGGTGACAGGGTATCATGTCACACAGGATTTTATCCTGCACAGTGCCCTGGGCTTGGGGACACAGGATTGTACCCCACTTTAACTTAGGAAAGGCAGGCCCTCTCAGGTTGGTAGCTGGAAAAAAAATCACCCGCTCACACATTTCACAGATACTTACTGAACACCTGCGTGGTATTAGGGCGCACGGTTGCATTTTCTCACATAAAGTTTGAGGCATCCGCATATAACGGCACACCTGCCACCAGTAAGTGTTCTCTGCAAGCTCATGGCAGTGCCGTCACTGTAAACCAGATCAGTCACCGCTTCTCACACCGCTTCAGCGTTCTACATATTTCTGAATTTGTAGTGCGCGTGAATAGTGCACGTGCACACACACACACAATCTAACTGCTGCTCTCACACTGAGTTCCATCTAAAACCTGTGTGACTTGTCTGGTCCCCAAGCACGCAGTACATTTCAGGCTGAAAGTGTGAATTCGCCTCCCTGACTACAGGCCTTCTCGGCTTGGCTTAAGAGCTGTAAAGCCCAGCGCAAGGGCTTTTCGCTCGGTGCCCAACACGGAGCAGCGGCTTACAGGAAACTTACTTCTGCCCAGCTTCTCCTTGGCCCGCGCAAGGCCCGTACTTGTACGCATACACCAGGCGAGGGATGAAGTCCGACGTGATGGCGATGACGAACGCATTTGTGATGACGGAGAGGATTCCGATGCCTTCCAGAATCCCATACCAGATTCCTGTTCAGACACAAGCGTGGACTTAGACCCACAGACAACAGCAGCGCTAATAAGAATGGAAACAACCAGGGCTGCTCGTTTCCCTCGGTCTTTTCCACGGGTCATGTGTTTCTTTCCAAGAACCGACCCTTGCCAGCAGGAGTAAGAACGTGCGCCTCCGAGCAGGCTGGCACCGGAGCGGGTGCCGTGGCAGCGCCAGGACGCACACGGCCGAACGGCCAGGCTCACGCGGCACTCTGAGAGCGCCGGTCAGCGGCAAGGCCGCCAGACGCCGTTGGGGACAAAGCCCAGCGACCTGGAGCTGCCACCGGACCGGACCGGGGGCTCCTAGAGCGCGTGGGTGGGTCCGTTACTCTTCTCGGCTCGTTTCACGGGGAGGCCGTAAGTCACCGGGAGAAGGAACACCGTACGAGCTCCACTCAAAGACCAGGGCTCATCCCCGTCCTTAGCAAAACTGACTTACGCTTCGTGTGAATCAGGAGCACATTCAGGAAAATGCAAAACGAAGCGAAGCAAAATGGGAGATCTGTTTCAAAAGGTGATAGGAAATCGAGTCTTCCCATTCTAAAGTCTTAGAAATAACAACAGTGAAATCAATCGAGGCACAAATCCCTCCAGCACTGGAAATTACAAATTTCCAAATGGGCAGCTTTATTTCTTGCCTAGCATAATTTTAAAATATAATTATTTGTTGCAAAAATTGGTTATCTTACACGGGGACTACAGGAGAAACTCAAAGGTGATGTTGTCTTAAGTTTTACCCACAAGACGGCTTAAAATCTTGTAAAAAACAGATCCAAATCCCACTTACCTATGTCTTTGGCCCTTGAAGCTAGAGGTCTCCTCCACTGTGTGACAAATTTGTAAGCGTCAAGTCGAATTTCAATTATGTTATTCAGTAAGGCCAGGAGTGGTGCTAGGGGAAAAGCTGCCACAAAGATGGTTGTGAATCCAAACTGGAGAACTATAGAATTAAAAAGGAAAGAGAACAGAAAAGTCGGTTTCTCCAGAGTTGCTATTTTCAAAAAGGTAATCATCTACACATGCTGCTGCTTGAAGTCATATGTTTTAAACTTCTGATACAGAAGCCCAGGAGACACCTCCTGCAGAAAGGAGGCAGGGACAGGGTGCAAGGGGCGCCTTCCTGGGCCGGCAGCAGTGGTGTTCTGGGAACAGCGAGCCCCAGCCAGCAACTGAGGACTGGACGCTGTTTTCTGATTGCCGTTGTCCAACGGGGAAATGCTGCCAGGGCTCCTTGGTGGGGAGTCTCATTCCAGAGTGCGGTGGCAAAGCACCAGGTGAGCCTGGAATGTTTCACGATGCCAGGAAGTAAGAAAGAGCTCGAGAGTTCTGGGGACGTGTGTGAAGGCGGAGAGGACAGACGGACGCCCACCCCTCATGGCCACAGCTGGGATAACTGCGCAAGAAAATCAACAATGAGAGCCTCGGATTATAACCGAAAGACTGAGCTAAACCCGCACCGATATGAGCAGTGATATAAAAATAGACAGATAACACTGAATAACAGGGAAATGGGGAGAGGGGCAGCTCCTTCCTCACGGTGGACTTTCCATTCATAAGCATACAAGGAAGGATGAAAGGGAAAACCGCCAGTAAATATCACAGTAATATTGCCGCAGGTAAGGATCCGTGAAAAGTGCTAAAATTAGAAGGGAGGAACCTTGGGGAAAAGTAGGTATCTGCGTGTTAACAGCACTGTGTGTTCCCCGTGGTACTTATTCATTACAATGGGAAGAACAGCATCTGCACACTGGAAAACCCGCCAGAAACCACCTTGCCCAAGCGATCAGCGTTAACACGGGCAGTAACGAGCCATTCTGATGATACAAAGCTCCGACAGAGCGCTTCTCCTTCCATGTCCCTCGCCCCTTCACTCCTCTCTCACAAAAAACAAGGTCTGGGGGACCTGCGCCTTCAGAACCGTTAGTTTCCAAGTCCCATCAATTAGCCCTTCAGAAGTACCTCTCGTTTCTCTCTTCTCCACTGTCCTACTTCAGTTCAGCGCTGATTTCCTATCTGGCTCTCTGCCTCTGAAGTTCACTTTCTCCTCGTTGTCGGTGTAAATAAAATGTCAGTTCAGGCCCACCCACCACTCTTCACCTCTGGACCCAAAATGGTTCAGTAGTCCTCACTCTCTCTAGAATAAATGCCAAACCACCACGCCATTCAAGGATCTCAGAAATTTAATTTTACACGATCTTCCAAGGCTCAGGCCCAAACACTCACCATTGCCCAGAGCAAGCCTTTACTAGACTTCTGGTTTCACTCAGGCAGGAGTTTCTGTAGAAACACTGATGAAATGCTCCTCTTCCAAGGCAAGCTCAAACGCGCCCTCTTCTGGAGCCTTCTGATAGTACTGTCTCCTCTATGCCTCCCCCAACTCCTGACCACCTCGGGACAAACTCTGTCTTCACTCTATGGCTGTCTTTTTTCTCCATTGCATTAGGCTTCCTGAAGGTGGGAATGGCAAACTCTTCGTGTTTCTATTCACTACGTGTGTGGAAACAACACACAAAGTGGTTCAGTGACTGCTACATAATGACAAGGAGGAAAAGCAAAACAAAGCAAAGCAAGCCTATCAGGTGGAAACAAAACCGGCAGAGGTAATTCTTACGACCACTAAGCAACTGGGTGTGATGGCTGCGTTTATAATGAAAACATTGGCAAGATGAAAAGGAAAAAGAAAATGTGTTTAGCTCATTTTTCGTATTTGTGTGTCTGAACAAAGTGATTGCTTTCACATAGCACAGGTGGAACCTGGACATTCCTGGTCTTGAACTCACATCCCTGCCTGCTGTTTTCTCAGTGTGGTCCAGGGACGAGGTTTATCACAGCGCACAGAAGGATAAACTTGAGGTATCTGTAGGGAAATGGATACTTCTGGAGGTCACTGTATTAAGTGAAATAAGTCCGAGCTTAAATATTGCATGGCCTCGCTTATATGAGACCCAAAAGAGAAACACAGAGTACAATAAAAATAGATAACAGGAAGTAGGGAGATAGATCTTTCTCAAAGGGGAAGGGGATCAGGAGATGGGGGAAGGGGAGGGAAAAGAGATGGAAAAAGGAATAAGGATGTGTCGTGTGCCTGTGCCAGCTCTACAGAAGGGATGTAAAAATTATGTGGTGCGAACATGGACCGATGACGAAATAAAAACCTAAAGAATTTGGAAAACTTTAAAGTATTAAATAGCACAGAGAATTGGGCAACAAACTTCCTCATACCCATGGAAGAATCACCAATAAGTCTCGGGGTCACTTTGTCACACGTGCTGCACACGGTTTTAAAATGACTGAAATTCAGAGATGAAGCTCAGTTCCCCCGTCTTTCTTCTGCTGAGGGGGCCCCTCGCCCTTCCCGGGAGGAGCCACTGCCGTGCACCAGGCAGGCACCCTTCGGGCTCACCTGTTCGTGCACACACCCACACCCATCTCAGCAAATCGCACTCGAGTGTCTCTAATGTCAGTGACTCTGCTCTTCCCAATTTTGCCCTTTTCAGCTCACGTGTTTGAGATGTCATCTTTAAGTCTACAGATTAAGCTCATCTTTTGGATTGCTTTACACTGAAGTACACGGACGTGCTTCCTTTCCATGTACGCTTTCCCAGGCATCATCTCATCCACTAGTGCCTTTCCGTGTTCTTTCTTTACTCTTATACCAGAAGGTAGCAAAAGTAAAAAATCTGTGACTTAAGCTTCCACCTCAAGATGTTGGAAAAAGAAGAGAAAATTAAGTCAGAAGGAAGTACAGAAAGGAAATAAGGATGAAAGCAGAAATTAATGAACTAGAAAGCAAATGTTAACGGAATCTGGTTGGTTTTGAAAAGATTAATAAACTTCTACCCAGAGGTTAAAGAGAAAAGAAAAGCAAACACAAGCTATGAAATTATGAGTAAAACAGTGGACATTGCAATAGGCTTTATGTCCATTAACATTAATAAGGTAAATTAGAAACAATTTCATGCCATTAAATTTGAAGATTTAGATATAATGGACAAATTTATTGAAAAACACAAGTATAAGACAATTTTACAAAATAGGCACTAGAACAAAAATAAAATCTCAATAGTCCAACATCTACTAAAGATACAATGTAAACCCTTCCCACAAAGAAAATTCAGTCCAGCTGACTCAGCTGGTGAATTGTTTTAAATATGTAAGGAATATTACTAGTTGTACACAAACCAAGAAAAACTATGATAAAACATTACCATACATCAACTAGAATGACCACAATTTAAAGACACCCTACCCACTTTTAGTTAGTATACAGAACTAAAGATTGTGTGCAATTTTCTACAGCAGATGAACAAACACACATCTTATGGCCTAGTAACTCCATTCCTACACACTGGATAGAAATATGTATATATTATTGAAAATTTAGTGACAATAAAACCCTGTCTCAAAAAAAAAAAAAAACAAAAACAAACAAAGTCAGAGTTGTAGCTCAGTGCAAAGGCCCTGGGTTCAATCACTGGTATCACAAACAAAACAACGAGACCACCACCAATAAAAAATATATGTAGAAAAATGTTCAAAGTGCTGTTATTCGAAGGGCTCAAACCTGGAAACAACCCAAACATCTCACCAGTAGAGCAGATGAATAAACACCAGTGCATCCCTGCTATCAGGAGCAACCCTGGAAGTCGGGCGAACTCATAAAATGGTTCACGTATTCGGGTAATGACATCTGCAATTTCACAGCTAATTTTGCCTTTTCCCGACTCGAGCATAAGAGACGGTTTGCCTTTCATTAAAGTGCATCTTCTAGCACACTGATCCTTATCAGTGTTCTGGAATGCGTTTCCTGACACGGGAGAGGGGTGGAGTGGCGGGGTATCTCCTGCTAGGGTGGGGACAGCGGGGGAAATCTGGAGTTTAGCTGGGAATGGAAATCAAAATACTACACCGTTAAAAGGACAGACAGGGATGCATGGCTCGTAAATTTGCTTCAGGCTTACATTCTAGGAACATTATACATCAATGAAAATGAAGTTATACTACCAGTAGCAGCACGGAAGAGTGTTATAAGCATGATATCGAACGAAAGCATCCAGCTTCAAGAGTAAATGCACAGCAGTTCTGTTCATACAGAGGCCCAAGAGGCAACAATCTATGGTATTTGAGGTCAGGAAAGTGGTCAGAAAGAGTGTGATGAGTGGCAGAGGGTCAGTGGAGCCTTTATTGGTATTCATAATATTCTGCTGCTTGGTCTACCTCACAGAATGGCAAACTTTTTCCTCTAAAGTATCCACAGTGAATATTTCAGGCTTTGAAAGCTACACGGTCTCTGTCACAACTACTCAACTTGCTGTTATAGTGCAAAAGCAGCTACAACTGATATGTAAGTAAATGGGCATTGTTGTGCTCCAAGGAAACATTATGAACAAAAGCACACGCTGCTCTGAATTTGCCGTGTGGGCCACAGTTCGCCAATTCCCCACCTTTACAGATCGACTCACCTTTGTGAAAATTCATGGATCTGTACACTTGGGGTTTGTATAACTTTTCTCACCATGTGGTGCAGTGAATTATATTTTTAAAATATAACAAGCAGAGAAGTAATACAGACAATAAAATCAACAAGAACAGAAGTGAGCAGATAGAATTCACTTGTCTGCTTGTGCTGCAAAGATAGTGCAGAGTTTGGAGTGCTACCAATCCCAGCCACATGAATACTTTTTTCCAAGCACTCAATATACTGCCGGTATCATTCATTTTCTTCTTTATGGGATAAGAGCCCATTAAGAGACCTCAAAGTGGTTAGTTCTCTTAATGAATTCTCTGTATTAAGTTTTATTGTTAATGCCCAAATCAATTTCTTTTCTAAGTTCTATCATGTTGCCATTCTATAACTGAAACTCTGAAAACATCAGCAGATACTTAGGAAATAAGTAATCTAGGAAACATTAAACATCAGTTCTAGTACTTTTTAAATTCTCAGATTTGTCCAGAAAGAACTGCTTCCTTCAGAAGTAATGCACCTTCCATTACTGCTAAACATAATTTTGAAAAAAATATATATATAGTGCACCTAACAAACAATCATATGCTCCTGCCCCCAGGAGACAAGAATATCAGAATAATAACACTTTAACACTACCAAGTGCACACGTTAAGCCAAGCATTCATGGTCCTAAGCCTCCCAGGCACTGACTCTTTTAATCCCCACGAAGACTCAGTGAAGTAGTTGCTCTTGGTATCTTTCCCACTTTAAAAATGAGGAAACTGAGACAAAGAGAAATTCAGTGATGCCCCAGCATTTCACTGTTAACAAATGATAGGCTGGGGTTTGAACCCAGGAAATTTTCTTCCAAACCCCCTGCTCTTAGATACGTAAGAGAATTAACTTGGGTTTGCATCTAGAGAAATCGGATTCCTTAAATATAAGGTGTTATGGTTTATGTCTAAATGTCCCCCTAAAGCCTCAGGCACTCACGGGTGGGGCTTTTGGAAGGTGGTGGATTAAGGGAGCCGGAGCTGACTCGCTGTTAGGAGGCGGAGTCTATTTGGAAGAGGCGGGGCCACCATGGGCTCCTCCCTTGACTCCGCTTCCTGTCCCCCGTGCCAGGAGCAGCTCTTCTCCTGCAGGCCCCTCTGCCACGCCTTCCCGCCCTGGCGCCTGCCGACTGTGGACAGAAACCTCTAAAACTATGAGCCAACCTAAGTTATGGGTGTTGGATATTTAGTTCTAGTAACAAAGAAAGTGACTAAGACATTAAGGGCGGCACGTACTAAGCATTCCCAGGTTGCTGACACTTCTCTCCCACAACAGAAATGACTCCCCGCTGTACCTCCAACTGATCCATGATACAGCACATATAGCACCGTACTGTGTCTATCTTTGTCTCCGGTTGTCCCCCACCAGCCCACGCACTCTTTGAAAGCTGGTGCTGCCATCTTGTCTTCCAGCATTTAAGAAGCTCCCGTAGATGTCAACTGAGTACGCGAATCAACCACACATGAATTTTTTTTTTTTTTTTTTTTTTTTTGTGCACCAAATTCCCCAACTCATTTTGTTTTCTGGTGACTCAGTGGAAGGGACAAGGCACAGTGTAGGCCTTGGGCAATTCCTCTAGACTAAGTGTCTTAAGGGAAGACTTTGCTCCTTTTGTGTTTAGCTCAGGAATTTCCACCCGCGGACGGCCCTGCGGACAGGTCTGTTTTGTTGAGTGGGGCTATAGATCTAAAATTTGCATTGATAATCAAGAGGGCAAGGCAGAATATTTCCATACTCATTTCCAAGTACTCATCGAAGAGTCCGTAGGCATTCATTGGCTGAAGGTTGTAGTCCTTTTCCCACTGTGGGAAGTTGATTTTCCTCTCGGGCCCGTGCTCTTGTCGTACTTTTCTTCTAGTCCACCAATTCTGAATTAACCTGTGTGACAAGATCGGTTTCTTACAACAGCAACATGACAGCTGTCCAGGAGATTTGTGAATTTTTTTTTTTTTTTTTTTTTTGGTACCGGGGATCGAACTTGGGTCCTTGCGCTTGCGAGGCAGGCAGTGGAACCACTGAGCTAAATCCCCGGCCCCATGAGATTTAAACAGGATTGGGAGCCCTATTTTTAAAAAGAAACAAACTCAGGACAGGCAGGAAACAAAGGCTTGGATTAAGAAGAAAATAACCGTGAAGCCCTACTTCAGACCTTCCTACTTGCGAGTAGATGGGGTGAGTGGTGAGCTTATTTTCCTTGTTCATGATTCAGTCTCGGGTTTGGCGCGGCCTTGAGGGCTGGACAGAGGACTGGTGACTTAATGTATGTAGGATTCTGATATTGGGGACCTGGAAAATCTGCACACCCACAAAACGGTTCCTGTCCTGGCACACGGGTGCCTGGCGCTCTACAGCTGAACTCGCGCTGGTCAGGGTCTCTGACTCTACGGAGACGCAAGGCTCACACACTTGTCGTTCTCCGCACCCCGGCGGGCACCTCGTCATAAATACGGGAAAGGGCTGAAGACAGCAGCAGGAGGAGCCAGATCTGGGTTCCCCGGAGGTGGAAATGCCAAGAGGCACATGTGAAACAAAGCGGGGAGGGCCGGACAAACTCTACTTACTTCACAACTTTGTTCTCTGTCTGTATCACTAGAGATTAAAATAGCCTTCTTCAGACGTTCGTGACATGTTGATTGATTACGGCTTATGCCTTCAAGGGGCATATCATGCTTGTAATTTTTAAATTTTGTTTTTAAAAAGTTGCATAGAAAACATGAAATACTTGGGATAAGGTTTCTAAAACTAGATCTGAGAACAGGAAATTACTGGCCAGCTGGTCGTCCCAGCTGCGTGGCCCACTGCTCCTCCTTGAGATTCACAAGGCCCCAAGACCCCGAGCTGGCATGGAAACCCATGGTGTAGAATTAACGCGGACATGGAGGCGCTGCTGAATTATGTTCCCTAAGGCTGAACCGACCACAGCACACACAGCAGAGCCCAAGGTCAGCTTCCCAAAGATGTTGCCAGTGTTTGCCCAGAGTCGTTAACAAAAATTAGTACCCGGTAACAATGTTTATAGGAGTTAAACATGCTTACTTAGAAGTACTCCTGCTTCTTTTTTAACCCCTGACATTTTCTCCTTTCCATAAACTCCATTTTTCTGTAGTCAAATTCAAGACAATTAAAAAAAAATGAGCACTCTGATTTATCCAGGAATAGGAATGTGCAGATCTTGTTACTACAAAAATAGCTAGGGCCTTGCAGTGCACAGCCCTACGGGTCGAAGGCATCATTTAAAGCGGTTTGCAAGGAAGTTTCTAATGTTTAGGGCCCACAGAGACTCCATAAAGAACTGCCAGGGCCGGGCGTGGTGGCGCACACCTGTAATCCCAGCACTTGGGAGGCTGAGGCAGGAGGATGGCTGTGAGTTTGAGACCAGCCCGGGCTACACAGTGAGTTCCAGGTCAGTCTCAACTACATAGTGAGACCCTGTCTCAAAAAAAAAAAAAGAACAGCCAGGTTCATTCCGATGAATGGCGTTAAATCTGCCCAAACAGCCAACGTTTATCATTTTCCTGGCTGCCCCTGCATGGTAATTGCGGCTCTGCACTACTTGTCTTTCTCCAGAAACACCAGTCCCAAGCGCCGCTGCCTGAGTTACAGAGATCAAGGTACTCACGGGTAGCCAAGCTCCATAAAGTTGTTCCAAGTCTGTTTTAGCACCATTATGATGCCCATCTGCATACAGAGATCAATGAGGCATCCACTAGGGTGGCACTGCAAGGCAAGCACACACGGGTCTGAGAGTCAGTGGCTAGGGAGGAGGGGTCCGGCTGCTCAGGACACGAGGGAAGGGGAGAAGGTAGGATACAGACCTCTTCTAGTCTCCACCTGTTTATCAGCCTCAAGTAGGCACCTGGGTGTCCTGTAAATCTTCAACACACACAGAGAAACAAGGGATTAGCACTGCCGAATCGGCCTGGAGTCTGAGCTTTCTGAGAGAGTATCGCGTTCAGTTTAGCACATTCCCCGAAGTGAATTAAGGCAACAGCTCAGCATGAGGTCAGGCCAGGTCAGAAGGGATTAGGACCTTCTCCAGAGCTGCCACAGACAGCCTCGGGAATTCTCCTCCGGCCCTTCTGGCCAGCTGCTGACTGCCGGGGCCAATTCCTGCTGTCTGTTTGACTGTTGACATTTCCTACTGAAATCAAGGGCTCTGGCATTCAGATACATTTGATCTTTCTGAATGACAGCAATACACTTGTTTCGAAATCACCAAACTGGCCAGAATCCTTGCTACTGGAGGAGCTAAAACCCTAAGCAGCAGCAGCTGCACCCTCTCACCCAGCCTTTCCCCGTTTCCCAGCTTCCCCGGAGGACTCTTGGGGAACCCAGGATCGATCCCCCTGTGTTTCCACCTTGCTCCTGTTGGGACCTCATTTGCCCTCTGTGGGGTCTGAGGACCTAGGACTGCCAAGGCCACGCCCCGTGCCGCCTGTTTGCAGGTGTGAGAGCCAGGGCCACTCAGGAAGTGTTCAAGCCCGTTCTCGGGTGCCAAGCACCTTCCTCCACTCAGCGGTGAAGGGTTTCCGGCATGCGGGGTAGTAGTGAGATTTGGGAAATACCACTTTCCACAGATGGCCCTGAGGGACAGGATACCGCATCACCGGGCGAGCGCTCTGTCCCCGCCTGGTCTGGGGAGACGAGGAGAGCATCCGATCCTTACCTTCCGAGGAAGAACGCGATGTAAAACGTGGAGCTGTTCAGATTGACAAACTGAAAAAGAAACATTTTCAGGGTGAAGCTGTTCTCCCACTCGGACTCTGTGCGAGGCTGTTCTGTGGACAAGAGCAGAGTTTGAGAGTCTGGCTTGGACCCCTCTCTGCTCCCTCTGTCTGACACACACACAGGGCGGGAGGGGAGCGGCTCCGGGAGACTCCAGCTGTCTGTGGACAGAGGGATGGGACAAATCGTCCAGGAAACAGATGCTGAGCTCAGACCACAGGGAGCCTGCTGGGGCGCCGCTGTGCTGTGAGAAAGAAGTGAACCCCACACTGCTCCCGAGTTAGGGGAGACCCGGGGAGGCCACAGTGCCTCTGTGTGGAGTCAGGGCCTCTCCCAGCTCCCGAGGACTCCTCAATCTGGACTCCTATTTCTAGAGCTATGCTTGGTACTGACTATCGCAGCACCTTTGTCCTCAGCCACCGCTGGACAGGCTCAAGGACCAGCACTGATGAGATGGGCCCTTCTTGAACGCTTTCCTTGTGTCAACACTGACGTCCTACGATTGATTTCCTGACTCGGTCAGGAATCCGCCCTCATCTCCTCACGGTTCGGCTTCCATCAAGCCAACGTTCTTCGGACACTGTGACGTGGACCGAAATATGGATCTAGTTGCCCTCAAGTTCAGCCTCCATCTTGAAAGCTCACGCCAGATGCCTGTGGCTTCCCTAGGAGCTGAATCCTCACCTTAAGTGAGGTTGAAGAAAATACAATGACAGCAACAGCATTTTCTCCCTGCCCACATTCCCTGAGCTTCTACTTCCTCATTTAACACGTCACCCCATCAATTCCCTTTCCGTGAACTTAACTCGGGATGCTTCCTGGGAGCGTATCTGAGAGGGAAAAAGAAGAAAGCAAGAGAATCTGATTTAAAATGGCTTCAGGGTCAGTTTCAGAGCAAGGCTGTAGTACTGCTAAGGGCAGAAAGACCAAGGATCCTTAAAGGGCTTTAGCTGTATTTTGCTTCTGTTAACGGGTGTTCTGGGTTGCCAGCCAGCTGGGTCCCCAGGTGCCCGACATGGGGAAGGACAAGCAGCCTGGGTCAAGGGGCCAACAGGACACAGCCTGCCAACGGCAGTCACCTCTCCTGTGGACCTCTCTCTGGGGGAATGCAGGGTGTGATGGAAGATGCTAATGGCAGAAAGGAGACAGTGAAACTTTCCACTCAGCCCCTGATAAGCTCCACACGGAGTGCAGAGGAGCAACTTACCTGTAATTTTATTGAATGCTATATGACCTCATTCATAAAATCGTCACTATTTCCATGTCTTGAAAATGTGGCAAATGTCAATCTTGCATCAGGTCAGCAGATTGTTTCCGTGTTTTATTGGGCCCAGGGAATGTTCTTCTAGGTCCTGAGTCCAGTCAGTGTTGTATCCACACACGTGTGTCAGTGCAAGTTGGCCTGTCTACATTCCAAGTTACAAGGCTCTCAGCCTCCAAAGCAGCTAACTTTGTGGTGATTTGTATACACCAGGAAGACCTGATTGTTTGTTTTTTGAGACAAGGACTTGCTAGATGCCCAGGCTGGTCTCAAACTCCTAGGCTTACACGGTCCTCCTCCTGAGCCTCCTGAGCGGCTGGGACTACAGGAGCAGGCCACCATGCCAGCTCAATATATGTTTAATTAAACAAAAACTGTAGGTACAGCAAAGAAATACTTTGCTAAATGACACTGGACACTTTATACACATGTAGCTTTGTAGTGCTATTTTCTGTGTGTGTCTGTGTGTGTGTGCATGTGTGTGTGTGCTCGAAGAGAAAAAATATCTTTATCTTATACTAGCTCAAGCCAGTTAATGTTTGTGACAGGTTTTAATAGAAAATCAAAGCAAAAGACATTTTTGCAGGCATTTCTAAGTAAAGGGAATATTGCTTCCCAGCAGCATTAGAGAAAAGAGCCTTCGAAAACCTGCTTTTAGAGCATCATACTGTACTGAAATGAAGAGGGTTCCACTTACCTAAATTTGTCAGAAGCAGCGCAACTTTTTCATAAAGCTGTAAAATAAATTTCATCCGTTTAACAGATGAACTGTAGATATTCTAAAAAGCTATAATTATAATTATATAACTAAATACAGAAAATAGGTAATAGAGCCAGGAATGAAAATAATTTCATTAACCACCTATTGTTCAAACAGTGAGAATATTGTGAAGAACTGCACCCTTTCAGAGTGAGTCAGAAATATGCAAGGTACAATTTTACTATTTTTAAAAATCTCCCTTCTGATCTTGGGGTGGATAATTCTGCAGTTTTGAGGCGAGCCGCCACTCACTCCCAGTTTCTTAAGGGAGGCAGGGCAGCTGCAGCGCCCCGAGGCTCCGCGTTCTCAGTGTAGAATCCCTAGGACTGACTGATGGCTCAATCGTGTGGCCTCACTGGTTACAGAGTGCAGAGCCTGTATCAGGGCTGAGGTGATCAGACATTATGGGAACTCCCAGAATCATGGAACCCAGCTTTTTCTGAGGGAATCTCCTCAGAAAGGTTCTAAACTGAGAGAAAGAGTAAGTGCTGTCTCTCTAAAAACAAAAACTGATGCATGAAAAGAAAACAGACAGTTGCTCGAATGGACTTGAACAGAACAGAAATGAAGACCGCATCCAGATTAGTCAAAACCCGGTCAACACTGGCCAGGCTAGAATTGTAGCTTCACCACCTGGCCGTGTAGGATGGGCCCATTTCCTCACCCTTTCTGCAGGCCACTGTTGCCCCTTCACAGAGGTGGGATGGGTGTGGGACTCACTGACCTTTCTCTTAATTCTGAATTCTCTTATCCCAAATTTCTTCTAACTATTGAAACAGCAAATACTTGGGTTTTCTGACTCTAAACTTCTAGTACTGGCTATTTTACTCTATTAAGGTATATGGTTTTCTATACTAAAATGAAGTTAATATTCTCATTAGATCAAAATTTCCATATAGAAACTTCAGATTCTTACTGGCTAATGTTAAGAGATGGGTACATTTTTCAGTAACAAAATCTGTGGTATAGGTTAGTCATAATCATTTGACCATAAAAATTCAACCCTGTAAACAATGAATAAAACTGATATTCTAATCAAGCATATTTTAATAGTATATTAAAATTCTTGGCTATATAATTATCAAGGGCCATTAGATTTGAATAGTGAGATAACTATTTTTAGAAATATGTTTTGATCCCAGGTTTATGTTTTATATCTTTCACACTGCTGTTTCACTTGGTACATTTATCTTGAAGTTCTTGGGAGCTGATGAGATGTGATTGTCAACTAGGGTATAAACATTGGAAAAATTGGCATTAAAAAGGGAACAGCACAAAGATCAATAAAATATTGATATTAACTTTTTGAAAAAACGGTAAAGTGTAACAGGGACACAGTCGGAAGCCATAATATCAAGCAAATTCCTTTTATATATGTCAAAGATGCAAATGAGGATACAGCGGGAAGGGTAACATATATAGAGGGGCTCATGGCCAGCAAGGGTGGGGGAGCTTAAGATGAGTAGTCTATGGAAAAAGACTGATTTTTCATTAGGTAGTTGAGCTAAAAACTGAAAGTATTTGGTTGTGATAAGAGCAGCAGAAAACTGTTAACTTGGTATAACAAATTCTTTTTCTTCTTTCTAAATTTAAGTTTTTATCATTAAATGATGACCTTCCTTGTCTCTTTTAATAGCTTTTACTATAAAGACTATTTTATCTGATGAAAGTATGGCCACTCCTGCTTTCTTTTTTTAACTGGAGATCAAACTTGGAATTTTGTGCTCATGAGGCAGGCGTCAGAAACTCTGAGCTAAGTCCCTGGCACTCCAGCCTTCTTTTGGACTTCATTTGCATGGACTATCTTATTCTGTTCCTTTACTTTCTGTCTATGGGTATCCCTAGAGGTGAATTGAGTTTCTTCCAAGAAACATATAGTTGGATATTGCTCTTTTAATCCATTCAGTCACTCTGTCTTTTAACTGGAGAATTTATTCATAAGGTAATTATCCACAGGTAAAGTCCTACTACAGCCATTTTGTAAGTTGTTTTCTCATTTTATTGTTTATGCCAAAAATTCCAATTGTTAATATCTGTAGCTGACAGAAGGCTTTCTGACTTTAAGGATATGTCCAAAACAAGCTGTGAGCACTTCTAATTTTTTCTTTTCAGTCTGGTCGATATGTGTGTGTGTGTGTATGTGTTCTATATAAGCCATATTTTCTGATTTCCTTGTGGTTTCACCATTTACAGCCTAATAACATATCTGATTCATATTGGTATGGCTGAATAAAAAGAATGGTAATAACTTATTCTTCTCCTGAGATGTGTCCAGTGCTGGTCTATTTAGCTTGTAATCAGCATACTGAGTTGTTCTTTGGCCACTGGTGAAGCTTGACAGGATTGAAACAGTGTTAAGAAACTCTACACTATTCACTCCGTTTTTAAAATACAGTGGTGCCTCTGTTCACAAACTTAATTTGTTTCAGAATTTTGGGGAAGATGTCTGCATTTATGTTTGTGCAGAGAAGATAGCTGTGGTTGCGTTTGTCACTTGATGTGGAGTTTCTGAATGGAAGCAAAATTTTGTTGGATGCTTTTGTTTGAGAGCTGAATTGTTTGCAAACAGAAGTGTTCATAAGCATAGGTGTTACTGGAATAAGGAATAAGATGTGAACCCGTGTCTCTCAACCAGTCATTAAGAGGCATAAGATTTCGTTAGGACCCAGAGAAGTTTTGTAAAATACTTAAGAATTTTATGTTTGAAGCAATACTACATAAAAGTAAATATACATCGTCAGATCTAGAAAACAAGTATCACACATAGGTTTGCTTCTGCAATTATCACTGGAAAAATGCAATAAAAAGTCAGAGATAGTACATGTGATTCATAATATTATTTAAAAATTAGAGTTGTTAATGAATATAAATTGAAAACCAATATAACTCTCAAGGTTTCTATATTCAGTTAACGAAAAACTATTAGTGGTTAGTGTTTAAATGTTTTTTGTTTTGTGAGGCCATACTGGTCAATCTAAGTAGCTAAAAACAATTTAGATTGCTGTACACAATGTAATTCTGGGTCATGAAAATAGCTTGAGCAATTTCCAAAGACAGCATAGATTTAGTTCTGAAATACTGTTCGGCTTACATTGCAACCACTAGTCTTCCATCCATTATGCTGAGATCTGCTTTCCAAGGATGCAAGTTATTGTTTGCTGATATTTTAATGAAAACTGTACCAAACTATTTTATACACTTGTTCACCCTCAGCATGGAGCTCACAAAGCTTCAGGGCATGTGACAGAGGGTAAATGTGTGTGCAAAAGTGAGGATGTTTCGAGAGAGGGTCCGGACGGGTCAGACAACTGGCCCATGCCCAAAAGGTCTGCTCGATGCTGCATTTAGAGTTTTTAATGCATGTTTTTTTCTCTCCTCTCTTCCCCTTGCAGCAGCTTGTTGTTTCTGTCCTCATCTGTGTTGTATTCTTGACTTAGTAATCTCAGTTATCCCGGTTTGATGTTGCCTGGGAATCAGAACACCAAAGGAGTTCACACTTCATCTGAAACCAATAAAGAGAGACCCTCTGCAGAATAGTATGTGTTACCTTCTGTGTGTGGATTCAGCAGCTTCCACTTTTGCTATTTGGAATCGCTCCGTTAGATAAAATACTTTGTAATACATTAGATATATATTTAACTCATACCCTATGCCCACTTCTTTGTTTTTAGTTTAACTTCCTGTTTTCTTGGGTGAAAGCGATTTCAGTGAACCCAAGTATTACTCCAATAGCATTGCTGCCTGCTCAGTATGCACAAGCAAACACACATTTATAGACACTGCGTATGTTCGCAGAAATTAATCTCTCAAGAGGACGTAGAAATCATTGTTATTAGTTTTGGCCTTCTACGTGCCAAGGTACACTTCTACCACACAGCCGCCTCCACAGCCCAAAATTCAATTTCAACGAGACATCGAGGAAAGATGATAAAAATACAGGAAGCATTAATTCACTGCATCCTTCCTAGGCCAAGACCTTTTGAACTCTCTGGCTCTGGAGAGGAAACCTTGGGCACAGAAGGGTGAAGGGGCGTCGGGCCTGTAATATACAATTAAAAAAAGCCTGAAATCAGCAAAAGCACCAGGGTCCCTCTGCTATTCTCCTTGTGGAGTGATTTCAAGGAATCTTTGGATACTGACTACCTTCCCATCCTTCAAAACCAAAAAGAAATACAGCTGTGTCCCAGGACCTGCGCTGAGTCTTCTGAAGGCATTGTTTCCCTAAATTTCCCCAAAGGAAACAAATCCCATGGTATCAATTGGGAAAACAAGGCAACTACGTTCAGAGAGGTTAGTGCCTTTTTCCAATTTGACACGGCAGGAAGTCCTGGCGTCTAGACAGGAAACAAGCCTTTCAGAGCCCTGCACCCCCAGTGCCACAGGGCCAACCACACCTCCGGGGCCAGGTTTCTGCAGCGATGGGCAAACCGTCCGGGCAGCCCCTGGCTTTGACCCACTGGGCCAGTCACCCTGCGGCCTGCTTACCACGTTCAGCAGCATAATGATGCAGAAGTTGATGCAGACGGCAGTTCCTGTGGTTGCCACCTGAGAGTTATTTCGGATCAATGCCCACTTAAAGGCTGCGAACGTGCTGACGGTCACCACCCGGTAGATGACGATCCCAAACACGGCGGCGATCACCACGCAGATCTAGAGGGGAGATGGAGGAGACCCAGTGAACGGCCTGGTGGACGGGAGGCGACCCTCATTCCGGGAAGGCTTCTGGTATGAGAAGGACAGTGTCAAGGAGGTATAGACTAAAGAACCCACGCTGCACTGTGCCTAACACTTTCTTGTTATTTAGAAACAACAACAACAAAAACGAAACAAAACGCTGTGTGAAGGTTGAGAATCTGAGCTTAGGCTTCACAATCATTTCCTTTGCCCCGAGCCCACCCACCTGATCTCCTGCCAAAGATATTCACAGGCGAGGACAGACACACACGGCGACCTAGTTAACACCTGTTCATCCTTCACTTTGCGGCTCAAGTACGGCTTCCTAATGCAGTCTTGAGTTCACTGTCCTTTTCCTTGTTGCTACTGTATGGTATGCCCACTATGCGTGTCTGTCTTCTTCCACGCCCTGCCCGGTGGAAAGGAAGTCCCAGAGGGCAGGCCCAGGATCTGGGTGCCTCCTCCCATGGTCCCGGAGGCGCCCTGGCTGATGTACAGGGACGCCGTGTGTGCCTAACTACTGTTATATGCTGTGGATGGAAGCGACCTTGGGGCAGACTCGCACCATCCTAGGGAACACCCTGCCCTGAAGACTTCATGGTATTTGAGAACACAGCTCCTATCTCAAGAAGATCATGGGAATCCGAGACTCCGGAAGGCCCACGAGTGATTCTCTTATTGTGTCCCGGAGTCCTGAGTGTACTTAATCATCAAGTTCCATTTAATTACAGCCAGCTCTCCAGGTAGCCTCTGCCGAAGTAAGAGATTCCTTTCTTTGCGGTCTGTTTTGCACAGGTTTTATTTCCTGCTCGCTTCTAGTAGGGCAGACTCTACAAGCTGAACATGAACTCCAGGTAGAGCTTCGCAGTAGTCTTTGAACAAAGAAACACTGCCCACATCTTCACCCCAGGGTCAGGTACGGCGGGGATAGAGTGGGGGCAGCCGGGGGGACTCAGTGCAGAGTCCTCTCGGTCACAGCCCAGCGTGTGACCCTGGGTTTCTGCTTGCCATGGTTCCAGCCTCCCATCTGCAGAGAGGAAAGCCTAATCTGTGGCTCTGGTCTATGGGATAAGTGCGGTGATAAAATACAAACGTGGCAAAGTGTGGCACAGTCGCTGCCAGAGCGACACCTGTTGCAGGTGTGGTTTGAGGCTCCGGGCCGAGGACTCTCTGGATGACACGCCGGGCCTTCTGTCTCCCTAGCGTCGTCACTGGCATTTTCCCTATGGTTCTAAGATGTCATTTCTGCACATCTGGGTATGCTCTGTTCACAGCACCGAAGGTGATCACAGAATGACTTCCCTTTAGGAAAAGCTAACGACTCAGCTCTGAGTTAGTGTTTTTCAAACTGACATGCCCACGGGGGAACCAGGAAGTCAATTTTAGGAGGTTGTATCTGGCATTTTAAAAATGCACTGTGATAAAGCAGAAAAATCATTTACTGCGTGTTATAAAGGTTAATACTGTCAGTTTTCTAAATCTCATTGCACAGAAAATACTGGATTTTGATAGAGAAAGTATTTCTTATTGTATGGGGATGGGGAAAAATTTGAAAAACACTGTTGTGGAGTCTATTTTGCATTTTCAGTTCCTTTCAGCAGGGCAGAGCGGGACAGGACAGGTGGCGAGAGCACCAGCCCAGAGTGGAGGGTCTGGGCTCCCGCTGGTGGGCCTGGCCACGCCCTGCACCTCTGGGGTCCTGGCTCCTGTCTGTAACTTGGAGAGAGCTGTGCCATCCCTGCCCACCAACCAGAGCAGAGAGGTCTCAATACCAACGGGGGGGGGCACCCTGCAAACATCTGATGTGATTATTGTCCTTACTATAGGTCTGTACCTACGAAACAAAAGTTTTTAGAATAGCTTCACACCATAAAAAATATTCCAGAGGCAGAAACGATAAGTCTGCTGCATTTATCCGCAAATGCTTGATAGGGTTCTGGCTTTCCTGAAATCGGGTTCATCCGCTCTTTCTTGGAATACTTGGCTTCAAATTGGGGTCGTATTTCTTCCTAAAGAATAAGCAGACACAGTTACACACGGAAGAGGTGCTTGCACAATAAGAAAAAAAAAATGGATCAGTGGCTGCCACACTAATTGCTCAACGGAGAGACAGGCTTGGAGAGGTAGGTGTAAGTGACAGAAATTAGCCCTGGAAGAGTACTGACAGCAGTGATGGCGAACCTTCTAGAGCTTTCAGTGATAGCAAAGGCCTGACTGGGGCACGTGTGCCACAGGCTCGGCACCTCTGACAGTGAGGTCTAGATTCACTATCGTCCAAAGCAATGTAGTTTAGCCTGACAGGTACATTTTTCCGTTATGTTATTAGACCAGGCCTGAAGAAAGGAGCAGAATATTTTAAGAGACCCCTACCGTCCCCAAGATTTAGAGCAACTAAGCTTCTATTTATTTCTAGGCAGTGACATGGATTTCAAAACAAAGAAGACTGCTCCAAATCCATTTTGTAAGCAGTAGTAACAATATAATTCTTTTCCTAAAAGGTATTTGGGGAATTTTTAGATCCAGGGGATTAAAAAAAAACATGGTGAACCTGTTTGGTAATAAGCTCCTACAGGATTCATTCACCATTAACCAATAAATGTTTTTGTTTGTGTTTGAGACAGGGCCTGGTTAGTAACCCAACCTGGCCTTGAGCTCATGGTGACTGTCCTGCCTCAGCCTCCCAAGTGCTGGGATGACAGGCGTGCACCACCACACTGGGCTAATGAATAAATTGTAAAGGGTATTCTTAATTGTTGTTGAAAACAAGTGAAAGCCTTTCAGATCCAGCTAAAATCACAACTCCTACCTGAGATTTTTGTTTCAGTGCGCTAACCCCCCCACTTCAGGGTGATAAGCTTTGATAAAAAAAACAATTGTGGGATTAGGAAAGGATAATAGTCCAGCAGGTACATGGGAGAGGTTCTAGTTAAGTTCACATTCTGAGGGCCTTAGAAAAGGACAGAAAATGAGCAGAAACGGGTGGGCCAGAGATTGAGGTGACCTGGGGAAAAAAGACCCGGATGATGGTACTGCCTGAAAGGGAGGGAGCGGTTGGCCCAGAGGACAGGGAGAAGGGGCGTGGCTAGAGGCAGCCTCCATTCGCAGGCGATGCGCGTACAGGCAGGCCCTGCCTCCTCCTAAGCGTTTTATGCACAGACCTGCAGCCCCGCAGTGGAAGCCGCGCAGCTAGGCCCCGTGCTCCTGGGCGGCGAGCTGAACTGTGTCCCTCCACCTCACCTAAGTCATCTATCGAAGTCCAACCCTCAGGAGGTCCAGCTGCGGTCACATTCAGTCAGGGTCTCCGCAGAGATAGGTTAAAATGAGATCAGTAGCACAGGACCGGTGCCCTCATCAAGCTGGACTTAGCGAATCTGCTGCCTCTACCTGCGTGAGAAGGGCTGTAGTACTTGTGGAGTTTAATTCACTAAGGAACCAAAATGTCTTCAACAACTCTGTCTTTTAAAACTTCCTGCACAGATGAGTATTGAAAATGCTTCATGAGTAACCCCGGTGAAGACGGTTCATGGGATGGATTTCTTAGTGATCTGGTGTTTCTGGAGTACTAGGGGTTGAAGCCACGACCTTCACAATAAGCTATTCCCAGCCATCTTTATTTCTTATTTCGAGATAGGGTCTCCCCGGTTGCTAAGTTGCCCAGGCTGGGCTCGAACTTGCAGTCATCCTGCCTCAGCCTCCCAGAGCGCTGCGATGACAGACATGCACCACCTTGTCCCACTTGATGACTGACTTTAAAAAAAATCCTGAGGTAAATGATAACAAACCTCCTCTTCTTCCCAGTCTATCAAATCCCAGTCATAAGCAATTACTGCTCGACGTCTTTTCCAAAATTCTAGGAAAACTGTTGCTGGAAGAAGCAGAGAAAGACAAAGACATGTTCAATAAAATAATGCCATTAGCTTTGGTACTGAATAATCACTGCACTGCAAAAAACGAAAATTGTTTGTATAAGCATCTGTGGCTACCAGACTTCCTAGCTAGCCTTCCTCAAATATCACATTCCTAGCTGGCCTTCATTAAATATGGAACAGTTTCTGAGAATTTTTAAGCCTGTCAAACTTCACAGATTTCACTTAGAATTAAGTTAAGCAAGTTTGAAAGTTGAGGAAAACAAAGCTTCTGTGATGTAAAAATATAGAAAACTGGATTACCAAAATCTTTCTAATTGAGAGCATTTTTTTGCTTTGTTCTGCAAGACAGGGTCTCACTATATAAAGTCAGCCTGGTACTGAACTACATACCCCAGGCTGGCCTTGAACTTGCAGCGATCCTCTTGCCTGAGCTTCCTGAGTGCTGGGATCACAGGCCTATGCTACCACACCCAGCCCAAGGGAATTTATTTTAAAAATTGAAGCGTAGGTAGGGTAGAAAGGCAAAAACAAAATTCATCAATTTGTATGGACCTGATTGGCACTGATTTTCTGGCACACAAATCCTCCTCACAGAAAGTGTCTACATATAAATATGTTTTGAGTACACATTTAAATTTACTATTTATTTAAATTTTAAATACGCTTATATGAAATGAAAACATGTTTGAAAAGCACGCAGCTGCATCTCCTGAATGTTTTAACCATTACTGCCAGTTAAATAAATGGTGATAATGTTAAAATATGAAAATTATGCTGGCCTCTTGTCATAAAGTACGATTCTGTGCGAACTGCCACACTGATCATTTATGCACAGCCCTGCAGCCCTGCAATGGAAGCCGCGCAGCTAGGAGATGGAGAGGAGTAATTGTCCCCTAAAGTCCACACGTGGCTCCTCTGCAATGAGACAACCTCTCGCTCCTGGGAAATGGGTGCTGCTAAACTGGATTTCCCAGGCACCCCTGCAGCTATGTGAACAGGAAGTGGCTATGAACGGAAGTGAGGGGGGCGTGTGCTTCCGTCTGCTGATATCTTAAGGCCTTGAGGGCGCTTTTCCATACTTCCCTCTTTTGAATGGGTGAAACCCAGGAAAGCAGTGGTGACAAGACCTGGAGCACGGTAGACAGCCCGTGTAGGTACAGAAGTCCTTGAAGACCCACGTGGAGAGGGGCCGTGTGCCAGCCTGGGGGAGGGCTCACCCCAGCTTTTACATAAGGCAGAAGCAGCTTCTGGGTGTTTTATGCCGCAGAAGGATGTTAGGTCTTTGTGTTGGAGTGGCCTGACCTGATCCTATCTAACACAGATGAGACAGAGAAAAGAGAACATTCCACTTGGCCACTGCAACACCGCACTGAAGGCATGAATATAAGTAACCTGTATTTCATTTTCTTTATAGATCTTAGAACAATCTGAAGACACAATCTAAAACTTTATTAATTTTACTTATGACAGAGTTTTGCATGCCTTCCCGCTTTTCTACCCTCATCTCCACCCTGTACTATTACCTAACCATCCCACAAATGAGGTTCACCTGAGGTGCTAATGCCAATCCCAAATAACAATTGTCTCCCGTTAGTTGACGTATTAGGAAAATCTGACACTTGTGCTCTTCCAACACAGATAGGATAAGGGGCACTGTTCAGGTAGAGTGGGTTTTAAACACAGTATTCTCCTCTTATCCATGCAGTTTGCATTCCAAGACCAGGAGAAGCCTGAACTTAGCATCAACCTCTATAAATAGGACACTTGCTCTTTTCTAAATAAGCTCAGTGTACATTCTTTTTCCTTATGAAATAAAGAGTTGTCACCTTTTTACTTAAAGGAAGCCCTTTACAGTATTTCTTTGGCACATCCAAATAGGTACTATCACTGTCTTTGTATTTTGGGGTCCTTATTACTGACAGTCATTAAGTAAAACAAGGACCACCTTAGACTGAGACAGTCTGAGAACGGAGATGGCTACTCAGTGACTAACAGGCAGTTGGGTGGCAAGGAGAATACTGTGTGATTTAAAAGTTACAATTTGTTTATTTCTTGAATTTTCTATTTAATAGTTTTGGACCAGGGTGACCATGGGTAACTGAAACAATGGAAAGCAAGACCATGAATAAAGGGGACTACTGTATAAGGACGCTCTTGGCTTGGAATCATGCAAAACAGAGACACTGAAAAGAGACACGAAAGGGACATGGCACAGAATGCTCTGCAGGCCACACTCCACTTATTTGCTTAGAGCAATCACTGTCAATTTCAAGTAAGTCTGTGATAGACTGCTATGTATTTACTAAAACCAGTGCTTACCCTCCTAGGCACAGTTACATAACATTTCCCAGCATTTGCTGTAATTAGATGTATCCACAACCCCAGTTTTGGACAGTGGAAAGCTAGCAGAAATGATGTATGTAATTTTTGGACTGAAGAATTAAAAAGTAGGTATGTTTTCCTGTGCTCCCTTCCTCTATCCTCCTTCTGAGGATTCAGAAGAGGATGGAACCACAAGATGAAAGGAACCCATAGGAATGATGATATGGAAAACTGCCTGGCAACCAAGACTGTACTCTGTTGATGGCTAGGTTTGGGGTTTGTGTGTTACAGCAGTTAACTTTACTCATCCTAACCAATTTGGGTTTCTTTCTGAAAAAACATACATGGTTAACATTCTGAAAGCAAGATGAAAAAAATTCACTGAGTTACTATCTGCCACCATCTCACTAAGGTTATCTACAGAGTCTTATACAGAAAACCTTCCTTTTCAAGTACATGTCAAAGCAAGCCTACTCTTTGAACTGTAGTCTTTCTTTTGCTGAAACTGTTTATAAATACAAAGGGTAACATCCCAGGGTGTGGTCATTGTGTGAGCATGGCATTGACTCTCTCTTCTTCCCTCAGGTCTGTACAGGGCCGGTGTTGGAACAGCCCACAATCATTCCCAAAGCTTCTTGGGATACATGACAAGTAGCATAATAGGATTTAGAAGGCCTCCTTTGATACTTCATCTTGAAAATGTCATCTCTGGTAGTCTATCGGAGAAAACTGTGTCTATTGCTAGAAGATAATTGCGAAAGTATTTTTTCCTTTATGTTTAAAAGTCAAGAGGCTTAAAGGTTCAATAGTCTAACTTTCCCCCTTAACTTATCAAGAGATTATGCTTAATTTGTGTAAAAAATTACAGATTGGCTAATGACAAAATGAACAGCATGCACAGAAGAGAAAGGGTGATTTTTATTTTAGAATGTTGAAAGCATTTTCAGAAATATCTTTCCTGGAAAGTAGAATAACTTACTTCACATACATAATCATTTTTTCTACCAATACTAATTTCCTTTCTTAAAAAGTGAAATTAGCAATATTAACAGATTTCATTTTGTCCAGTTGTCTTTAATATTCTGAGAACGTTTATTTAGAAAAGATTCAGGCAATAAAATAATATGCTTCTCGGGGGCTGGGGATTTAGTGCAGTGGCACCCTACCCGCCTCACAAATGCAAGGTCCTGAGTTCAATCCCTGGTACAAAAAAAAAAAAAAAAAAAGCTTCTTGGAAACCTAGAAGCCTGAAGTCACCTCCTGAGAGCTTATCTTGCAAAATCTGCAAAAACTGGGCAAGTTTAGCTAAGAGTCACAAACTCAAGCCTGAAAAGGTCAGAACAATAATGAAAAGAAGAAGCCACACAATAGAGACTGCTGGGAACTGGGACAGATGGAGAGAGATGTGGCCTCTGGGAATGCCTGGGTATCACTCACTCCCCATGGACTTCACTGAGGAAAGATATTCACATTTTTAAAAAAGAGAAACCACAAAAATGTACTTTTGTGTGAATATCTCAGTATCAAAATTATAATAGTTTACTCACACATTTAAACCAGTGAAAGTCACACTGTTTTTTATTGGTTGCTACTTTGCAATATCCGAGATAAGCTATTGGCAGTAATAATGAAAATGAATATAAATGGGTGACTGGAGAGTTTGTGAAATGCTCCCAAATGTCAAAACAAGGTAACGCTAGGGTCCAAGAGGGCCAGAAATATTAGGGTACTTTAAGAGGCTGAAACTTAATCATTGGTATTAGGACCTTCTCAGAAGCATCAGCGTGTCCACATAGAAAGTAGCCAACTTGCAACTAAAAAAAATGGTCTAAGGAAAATATGTTTGGCAGAGTCTGATCTACTGTAAGATAAGAAAAAATTTCAAAGCAGACTGGACGAAGACATCTAATGTAGAAAGGAACAAAAATAAGAAATACAGAAGACATCTTGTCCAAAACTACTCAAGCCAGAACACAGTGGAACAGCACCAGGACGGATGGTTTTCCAGTTCTGACACAATTTCAATTGTGAAATACTGTGAAAATAAAGGTAGGTGATTACCCTGAAGTACCATACTCCACATATGAGCCATATTTAATCCTCATGTGCAGGTGATCTATGGGCTCAAGTAGAAGACCTCAGGGAACTCAGATAGATCACGTGACTCCAGCCTCCAGAGCAGTATTCTTACTGACATCTTGGACTGGATACTGCCTTATGGTGTTGGGGGCTGCGTTGGGCATTGTAGGATACTCAGCAGCTCAGTATGAGACTGTTTGCTCAGCATGTCTGAGGCCCCGGGTTTGAAGTCTGTACCACAAAAAAAAAAAAAAAAAAAAAAAAAAGCCAAAACAAAATACAAAAAACACAAAAAGAGCAAACTAAACCCAAAATAAGTACTGTGAGAAAGAGCATGCAAGAAATGAATAAAAAGTAAAACATAAAACAACAAAAATCAATAGAATCAATAAAGTTCTAGACAGAATGAACAAAAAGAGGGGAGACATAAATTATTGATTTCAAGAATGAGCAGTGTGAAATAACAGATTCCATAGAAATTACAAAGAATATAAGAGAATATTATAAACAAATCAATGCCTATAAATTCCAAGTTCAGATGAAGTTATAGACTCCTTCAAAGACAAGAAGAATAGAAACCTTAAAAAATGCTATG